ATCATCATCATGCTCATCATCATCATCACCATCATCATCATCATCATCATCATCACCATCATCATCATCATGCTCATCATCATCATCATCATCATCAGCATCATCATCATCATCATCATCAGCATCATCAGCATCAGCAGCAGCATCAGCATCAGCATCAGCATCATCATCATCATCAGCAGCAGCAGCAGGAGCAGCAGCATAATCATCAGCAGCATCATCCTTTCATCATCGTCATCATCAGCAGCAGCATCAGCATCATCATCACCATCATCATCACCATTATCATCATCATAACCAACATCATAATCATAAACATAATCCTCACCATCACCATCACCATCATCATCATCATCATCATCATCATCATCCTCATCATCATCATCATCATCATCCTCATCCTCATCCTCATCCTCATCCTCATCATCATCATCATCATCATCATCATCATCATCATCATCATCATCATCATCATCATCATCCTTTCTGCCTCCTGCTCTCTCCTGCTCCGCCTCCCTGGGCTCTCCCGTTCCCCACCCACGGCCTCCTCCCCCCTTCCCCCCGCTCGTCCCTCTGCGGGAGAGCGTTAGGTGACAGGCGATGCATCGCCGATAGATCGGCGCTCAACCCCCGATAGCGAGTCCGCGCGTCCCTGGGCAGGGGGTGGGGGGGGGGGCTATCGGGCCGTCCTCTGCCGCTGGCGCGCCGTCGACCCCCCTGCCGCACAGCCACCCACTCGGGGAGGTGACTGGAGTGAACCGCCTCGGGCAGGTCGTGGGGCACAGACCTAGCGTCCTTGGCAGACGACCCTCCTATCAGGAGGCGGGAAGAAGGAGAAGAGGAGCGTGAACCACAAGGAGGTTCGGTCTGGCTCTCCACGACAGCACCAAGCACGTTAGTGTAGCCCAGGGGGACGCCATTCTCAAAAGAGAACGGCGGTCCAATCGAGGAGGAGGAGGAGGAGGAGGGGGCAGGAGGAGGAGGAGGAGGAGGAGGAGGAGGAGGAGGAGGAGGGAGGAGGAGGAGGAGGAGGAGGAAAAGGAGGGAGGGAGGTGGGAGGGAGGAGAGGAGGGAGGAGGGAGGAGGGAGGAGAAAGAGGAAAGATGGAGGAGATACTGGGAATGAGGGGAGGCAGGAAAGCAGCAGGGGAGAAAGAGCAGTGGCAGCAGCAGGAAAACGAGTCCCTCCCCTGTCGACCCCCGAGGGCGATCTGGACCGGCCCATGGTCTACGCCGGCGGCGATACTGTCTGCGCGCCGTAGAAGCAGGCCTCCGCGGGGGAGGAGACGGACAGGCGTACGAGGTACCCAAGAGTCGAGCGTGGGGGGAGGAAGAGGAGGAGGGAGGCAAAGGGGGATGCTGAGGAGGATGAGGAAAGAGAGGGGGAGCGAGTCGTGCCTTGACCGACGTCATGCTTCGACTCGTCCCGTCTGGACCCTTGATTATCCCGCAGATCGCTCCGGTAACAATCCACCCTGAAGTCGAGTCCGCACCGCTTGATGTGAAATCCCGCCAGCCCCTTAGAGCGTAGATCAATTAGGGCGTTTCCTCGTCCACTCCTCGTCTTCTCCTGGGGGGAAGGCTGTATCACTGCACCTTATCAATGTACATCCCCTCCCCCTCCCCGACCAGCCACAAGCCGGAGCCAATGCTGACCCCCCCCTAATCATCCCTCGCCTAAACCATACAACGTGCACTTTGCACCAAGATCTGCATCAATCGCGAACGCCCCGCGATCAGATTGCTCTGGTTATTGACAAGGACGGCGGGGGACTGGCGTATTGGCTGCTGCGAGCAAGCGCTCCCCAACCATCGCTTGCAAAAATCTGTGCAGAGCGTACGCTGCACCAAGATCTGGATCATGCGCGGACGCCCCGCTCTCACGTTGCATTGGTTTTTGAAGAGGACGGCGGGGGAGCAGCATATTGCCCACTGTGTGCAGGCCCACCGTCCCCTTCAACAACGCATGCAGAGCTCACCTTGGCAGGCACGGCGGTGAGGGGCGGCATACTGCCTGCTACGTGAAGGCTCGCCGTTCCTGCCAAAAACGAACACAAAGTGACTGCGGGTGCACACCCACACGCACACGCACACGCACACATACACACACACAATACACCATGCTCGCAAACCCACCGTCACTTTGCAGTGGGTTTTGACAGGGATGGTGGTGAGTCGACGTCTTGTCCAACATGGCGCACCTGGTGCGCGTGGCGCCTGGCATGTGCGGCACACCTCGCGGGCTTCGTGCACATGGCTGGCGTCGGCGTTGGTTCCCGATGGTTGTCGGTGGCGGCCCCTACCTGTGTAGTGGGAGGGCGAGCGGGAGTGCGCGGGACAGCTTGCGGCGTTCTAGCAACGCTGTGAGAGGGCCCTGGCCTGTTTGATCGATAGTCCCCAAGCCCCAAGACGGCCCGAAAGGCTCTCAAGAGTCCCAAGAGCCCCAAGAGGGCCCAAAGAGGGCACCAAGAGGCCACAAAAGGCACCCAAGATGCTCCAAGGTGCCCACCAAGAGCCAACAAGAGGCCCTCAAAACGCCCCAGTGTGCCGCTAACAGGCGATCAAGAGACAACCAAAGAGACCCAAGGAAGCATCCAAAGGGCCTCTGGCCCACGCAGGCCCCCGATATCTCCAAATAGTGACACGCTCCCCCTTCAAGGCGACGATGCGGCAAGCCCGCGAACTTCTGCTGAACAACTTCCCGAAAAAAATGACAGAAACAAATAATTTAGTTTCTTGGCCGCGAACGAACCCGCGAACTCATACCGAACAATTTCCTGAACAAATGCATAACAAATCTCTGAAGCTTCAGCGCAAGCAAGGCCGCGAAGCTGTGCCGAACAACCTCCCGACCAAACAAAAACCCTCAACTTGCAATGATATCTGGAATACTAAACAATCCAGCGAACAGCAACAAATACGCGCACCGCAACCGATTCACACAACAATTCAAGGATTGCTAAACACTAAACGTCGCTGAATACTAAGACTGCTCGCTCTGCCGTTTTGTGTTGCAATGTTAGCGAACAAACCTAAAAACACATTACCTGAAACGAAACTTGCTCCAACAAAGAAGTTCACCAAAAACACGGGTATTCGATGAAGTGTTGCTTTACCGCTGCTAAACTAAAAACTATGTGAGATCTCACCCTGCATTACACAATGCACTCACCACGAATACATGTTGAAGACGGGTAACTTCGCGCATAGCCTCCAAGATCGCGTCTCTGAATTGAAACGCCCGCGAACGTGGGGGCGAGCCCCATGTATTGCGATAGACGAGAAAACAAAACGAATCCGATAGAAAGCCCTCAGGGCTGCAACGAGGCGCACAAGCGAGATAAGAACGGGATATTGGAACGCTCTGGGACCGTCTGGGGGCCGCCTTTTGAACGATTAGGGGGTGTGTTCCTGTCCCGTGGCGCGTTCGGAAGCGATTGAAAGGTGCCTGAAGGCGGTTCTTCGAGCTTAGAGCGCGGTTGGAAGCGATCTGGGAGCGGTCTCGGGGCCCCTGTCCCCTCCTGCCCCGCGGAGGTCCCTGGGCGCGGCCAGGGGCCTCGTCCCCCGGGAGATGTATATGTATAAATATGTATATATATATATATGTGGATGCACAGACGCACCGATATACAGACATGTGTGTTTACATATGCGTATACAAGCACATGTCTACAAAACTGAGCGTTTACAATTACAAGAGTCTATATATATATATAGACAGTATATATCTAGATCTGTGTCTGCACATGTATTGGGAAGACGCGTGCGCATTTCTAACGTAGCGAATGGAAGCGGCATGGCACCTCGAATACACTCCTGCATGTACTGCACCCGTCCCATCCGCCTACTCTTACTTACCATGCTCCTCATATTTCCTCCTCCTCCTTCTGCTGCACCTACTCTTCATCTTCCGTCTCCTCCTCCTCCTCCTCCTCCTCCTCCCCCTCCTCCTTCTGCTCCTCCACTTGCTCCTCCTCCATATCCGCATTCGCCAGAGACAGGTTTAAGACTTGGGCTGCACGCTTGACCACCTAGACCTACGTTTTGCTGACTGCTCCTGGTCAGTACAATCTACTCTGGGGCCTCTCGAGGCGGCCTCGGGATATTTCGGAACTGTGGGCCGGGGTGCTCTAGGGCTGCCTTGAGGCCCTATTCGGCGCTATGGGCCCACTCCGAGAGGATAGCATCGGCATCCATCTGCAGTTGAAAAGCGTGGCAAGCGAAAACCAAATGAAAGCCCAAAGAGGCTCGATGCTGTCCGCCTCCTGGAATGTCTGTTGCAAGCCTTTGGGCCTTCTTGTTGGTATCCCGAGGCCCTCGTGGGCCCTCATGGGGCGCTCTTGGGCCCCTGTTCCCTCCGACGCTCTCTTGGGGTCAACTTGAGCACGAGCAAAAACTAACAAATGATCCCGATTACCTCCTTTTGATCTGGCAAATCTGCAATTTGACAGATGTTGGCCGTTGGGGGGTCTTCTTGAAGCCCGCTTGTAGAGCCTGGGGCTTCCTCAGGGCGTTGGTGTATTAGTGGACCGTCTTGGGGGCCTCGTGAAAGCCTGAAGTCTTCAGAAAGGAAGGCCTGGGGCCACTCCCAAGATGGACATCAAAATGATTCCTAGAGGAGGAAGGAGAGAGAGAGGGAGAGAGACGGAGGCAAGGAGGGGAAAGAAGGAGAGAAGGGGGAAAAAAGAGAGGGGGGAAAAGAAAATGAACTCTACGGGATTCGATCGGCGCCACAAGTCTGCGGGGAAAAATAGGAGGGCAAGAGAAGGGAAAGAGGATGCAGAGGGAGAGAGAGAGAGAGAGAGAAACTGGGGCCAAAGGCCGTAGCATGTACGATGCCATAAGTGTGTCGATGCAGATTTCCCAGTTTTGTGCCGCTCCGCCAAGTCATGAGAGTACTTATAAGCGTAAGCTTCGAGGGCATCGAGTGGGACGAGCACGGTGCGCTCAGGGCATCGAGTGGGACGAGCACGGTGCGCTCGCATCCCATCCGGCGTGTCGCCCCTTCCCCACCACACACCCCTCGCCTGATCCCATCCCTGCTCCTCCCCCCCCTTCGCAGGAAGCTGGAAATCATGTACAGCCATCATGTCTGACCAGGACCAGTCTGGGCCCTAGATTCGATTACAAATCCTCCTGGCCTGGGCCCGGGGAGCTCTGCACTATACACGAGTCCAAGGCTCAGGATGGACCTGGTCAGCATGGTGATGGTGCACAGTTGCCAGCATCTTCCTCTCCCCAAATCCACATTCCCCCTCCCTGCTCCCCCCACCCGATCCGCCCTCAGAGTTATACATTATGAGTACCACTCTGCTATACTCTCTGCGGAAGATGTCCAAGCCTCTCCGCGTAATGCTTCTTGCACACCGGATTTCTTCAAGTGTTTTGCTTCTCTTACGGCACTTTTCAATATGATTGTTTCCGGCGTTTCTTCATGGTGCTCCAGCTGCAGCCAGGGCTTCATGCTCGGATCGGCACTTTGCTCCCGGCGATCAGATTGGCGCTCTCGCCCCAGCGCCAGCCACTTTCAGGATCCCGGTCCTTTTTCATCGATGTCACCTTCCTCATCTCCCCTCCTCCTCCGTCCCCTGGTCCTCCTGCTCCTCCCGCTCCTTCCACTCCAGTTCCTGCTGCTGCTGTTCGTCATCGTCCCCCTCCTTCCACGTCCTCCTTCCCTGCTCATCATCCTGCTTACCCATCACCTCATCGCGCACAACACGCATGACACGCGTCCAAGGATGGAAGAATCAGCACAACGGGATGGGATGGGTGGGGGAAAATGCTGTCTGATGTGGCGATACTGCTCTCCATTCTCCTCTGACTCCGTGCGGAAACTGCCCTGTCTTTGTCCGCACATTCTGTCAAGCCACAGGATTTCGAGAGTATGGATTGTATATCGCTTTTCCCAACCATCCTGTGGTGTTGGGTCCTCGTTTTGAAGAGACGGTCCCCGCGTTCCTCCCCTCCTCTTCCCCCTCCTCTCCCTCCTCCCCCTCCTCCCCTCCCTCCTCCTTCTTCCATGCATTTCGTGGCCCCATAGGGAGCTCCACCGAAGGTCCCAGTGCTACCGTCCGCATGCGTCCCGCACTCCCAGTACAGCGTTTCGTGGCCCTCCTCCCCCTCCTCTCTGCGTTTCACCCACCCAGTACAGCGCTTCGTGGCCCCATAGGGAGCCCCACCGAAGGTCCCAGTGCTACCGTCCGCATGCGTCCCGCACACCCAGTACAGCGTTTCGTGGCCCCATAGGGCGCCCCACCGAAGGTCCCAGTGCTACCGCCCGCATGCGTCCCGCACACCCAGTACAGCGTTTCGTGGCCCCATAGGGCGCCCCTCCGAAGGTCCCAGTGCTACCGTCCGCATGCGTCCCGCACACCCAGTACAGCGTTTCGTGGCCCTCCTCCCCCTCCTCCCTGCGTTTCACCCACCCAGTACAACGTTTCGTGGCCCCACAAGGAGCCCCACCGAAGGTCCCAGTGCTACTGTCCGCATGCGTCCCGCACGCCCAGTACAGCGTTTCGTGGCCCCATAGGGAGCCCCACCGAAGGTCCCAGCCCTACCGTCCGCATGCGTCCCGCACACCCAGTACAGCGTTTCGTGGCCCCATAGGGAGCTCCACCGAAGACCCCAGTGCCCCCGTCCGCATGCGTCCCGGAAGCCCATTTTGGCATTTTCACCCACCCAGTGCAGCGTTGCGTGGCCCCATCGGGGCTCCACCCAAGGCCCCAGCGCCACCGTCCGTATGCGTCCGGAAAATGTAATTTAGCATTTTCACCCGCGCAAAGCAGCGTTTCGTGGCCCCATGGGGAGCTCCCCCGAAGCCCCCAGTGGAACCGCCCGCATGCGTCCCGGAAACCCAACTTGGCATTTTCACTCACTCAGTAGAGCGCTTCGTGGCCCCATAGGGAGCTCCACCGAAGCCCTCAGTGGGACCGTCCGCATGCGTCCCGGAAACCCAATTCGGCACACCACCCACACAGTACAGCGTTCCCCCCCGCCCAGTTCAGCGCTTCGTGGCCCCATAGGGAGCTTCACCGAAGCAGATATTCACAATTACGGTACCCACAACTGCATATGGTTGGGACCTTCGCCAGGATATTTGTTTACATCCCAATACGGCTATTTCTCGGCCCTTCCAAATGGTGCTGCCGCTGCAACGCAGGCCTCATTGTAGGACTGGCGCTTCGCTCCCGCCGTTCACCATGGCACTCTCGCCCCAAGCGCGGGCCACGTTTGGGAGCCGCTTCTGCATCCGCATCCTTCCGCGTCGCTGTCGCCGCCCTCCTGTTCCCCTCCTCTGCCTTCCCCTGGTCCTCCCGCTCCTCCCGCTCCTCCCACTCCAGCTCCTGCTGCTGCTGCTTGTCCTCGCCCTCCTCTCTCCTCGTCCTCATCCTCTTCCTCCTGATCGTCCTCCTGTTCATCCACCACCTCCTCCTCCGATCTACGCCGCTCCATTTTTTCGATTGCGCATGACACGATGGGGTCGTTGTGGGAATTCCAGGTTCACCATAACACGCGTCGGCGGATAGAAAACAAATCAGCGCAGTTGGAATGGATGCGTGGGAGAGGTAGGATGACAAAGATCGCGCGAACCCACCTGGCTGGCCTATCCCCCTCTCTCCGGTTTCCCCGCCGCTTTCCCCGCCGCTTTGCCTTGCCCCCTGCGCCTACCCAGGGGCGGAAGCGCGCACCCCCAGTGGCCACCCCTGGGGGGGGGGGGGGGGGGCGCCGCCCGCTCGCGCACGCGAGCGAACAGGCGCAGCGCGCCTTCGGCAATCAGCAGCCAGGGTCCTGCAGAGGGCGGCGCGTGGCGGAAGGGGCCGAGCGGCGGACGACCGACTCTCAGGACGACGACTGGAGGAGACGAGGACGAGGACGAGGACGAGGGCGAGGACGAGGACGAGGAGGAGGAGGAGGAGGAGGAGGAGGACGACGACGACGACGGACGACCAACGACAGACGGCCAACGACTGACGACCAAAGACTGACGACCGCCGACGACGACGACGATGACTTGTCTGCCCGAGTGGAAACGAAGCATGCGGCTAAACTCGAGCTGGATCCAGCATGAAACACGATCGTCGTGGACGTTGTTCTCTGAAGCCGAAGCTGCGTGTTGGTGGCTATAAGTACTGTTGTCGCAATGACATGTGCTGAATCCAAGCCTCTACACGAAAATGTGGCGGGCGCGCACTCACACATACACACACACACACACACACACACACACATGAGCGCTCAGTGGCCTTCCGGGGCCGACTGCTATCGCGCCGAGAGCGAAAACTTGAGAATCGATGGGTAGAGCGAACGTGTCAGACACAAGTAGGCGACGATGCGTGCATTTGAAGTGGTCTGTTATTAAACTAAGGAAAAGCGCCCGCAGAAATCCGAGCACACCTTCGAGACCGACGGTGGACAGCACACACACACACAATGCCCACTCGAAAAGCTAATACTCACACTTATTAGCATGATCCTTCTTGACGCGCACACGCGCGCGCCCATTCGAGCGACCACGCGGCCCCGCTGATTGTTGCGGCCGCCAACCTTGGAACTGCCGCCCACGTAGCGCCGAGACGGGACAAGAGAGCCCTGAGACGGCCCAAGAGAGCCTCGAGAAGGCTTCAGGAGCTCCGAAAACGCAACTAGAGGGCTCCAAGATGATCCCCCAAAGGCCCTCCATTGTTCAAAATCTGTAACCCAGATTGCGTTTTACATTGTTGTGCTCTCGCGCTTTTTTGACCTCGCAACGCCCAAGACGTTTCAGGAGTCTCCAGATGAACCCAAGGCACCCCAAGATGTCCCCAAGAGGGCCCCCAAGCGGCCCAAGAGGACCCCAAGAGAACCCAAGAGGACAGCCCAAGAGGCTCCCACGACGGCGACAGACGCCCCCAAGAGGGTTCCCAGGGAGGCCCAAGCCGAACTCAGTTGGCGCCCCTCCCCCGAAATTGGCTCCCGAGTCGGCTCAACAGGCCCCCGAAACGCCTGCAAGATTTTGCCAGTCAAGCCCCCAGAACCCCTAGAGAGGCTCTCTACGAGACCTCAAACAAACGGGTCCCAAGGGGCCTCCAGCACTTCTTCCAAGACGCCCCCCAGCAGGGTTCGCTGGCATACGCGACGCGAAAGAATCTCGATGCTGCGCGCAACTCTGCCAAACTACCAAGAGGCGGCCAGTGATTCGCCGCCGAATCCTGCAGATCGTGACAACAATCGCTGGCGATCGTAATCATCTAGCTTCCACGGTCCACACCCTTTGGCCTGCGGTTTCAACTTTTCACGGTCGACAACACCCCATTTCCCTCCTCCGAGCTCCCCGCCCTGGCCCCCCTTCCTCCCTCTGAGGGCGCACGAGAGGGGAGACCAGCTCAAGGGGGGGAACATCGAGCTGGAACCGGCGACACATCGTCGTTCGGCGATAGGCCCCAGTTTCGAAACCGCACGTTCCTGGGCGGGGTGGACAGCCAGGCCACTATCGGCGATCAGTGGGCGATAGGGGGTCGATGCGTCCCCCCCGAAGCCCATCGCCCCCCAAAGGTTGCCCACAGTCCCTACTCTCGGCGGTGACGATGGGGGCGAACAGACCAGGGGCGCGCATTCAACGCATTCGCCGAGGAGCCTCGCCGAAGACATGGACCATCGGCCCGCCTGGATACATGTATGGCTACCCCATGACCGATTCGCCCCCTATCTTGGCCTCCGATACTCCCCTCTCCTCGCCCCCCTTCCCGGCAGAGAGGAAAGGAGGGGGCATCGATGGCGGCGAGGAGGCCAGGGGCAACTGACAGAGGGAGCGGGCGGCCCTCTACGGTCCGACTTCCACGGGGATGTCCGCTTCTGAGTTCTTTACCTCGCTCGTCGGGCCTTCCTGGCTCGCCATCGTCATCTTCGGGCGGCGCTGGGCTGTACTCGGGCCGAACATGTATATCCGCTCGCAGGGCACAACATGTCGCCGGGGCCCCTGCCGCGAAGGGGAGAGCAGGGAAGAGGCAGGAGCAGGAGGAGGCAGGAGGCAGGAGGGAGGCAGGGAGCAAGTGAAGGCAAGAGGCTTTTTTGCTGTAGGCCGCTGCTGTGACAAGCTTCTGGAGAGATTGGCAAGCAGGAAAATATGAAAGTGCATAAAAGCCAGGGTATCACGAAGTCTGTCATTCGCGAAGAAAAAACCCCAGAGCGGACATCATGTCTGCTGCGTCGCAAGGCCCTGCACAATTGGCAGGAAAGCAACATTCGAATTCGCACCTGCTGCCATCAGCCGAAAGGCGACCTCCAAAGCCGGTGCCCTCAGCGACGGCTGCTGCTGCAACTCCGAGAGCACAGCTTCGCCGTCAGCGAAGCGGCCCAGCAAGGCAACGTCAGTGTCGTGATGTCCGTGGCGAGGTCCCCACGGGAGGCCTCAAAATGGAAGGCATCGCGTCCGGAGGAGCGCCAGAAACCTGCAGCTGCTCCGGACCGAGCTCGGTCACATGCGAACTCACATTATTCTTATTCTTCTTGCGCTAATTATTCTTCTTCCTCTTCGGGGCCACCTCCGTAGCGCCAGCAGCCAGCGAGGGTACAGAAGAAGACGAGGAACTATCATCCCACCCGTGATGGACACCGCCACTATGGGCTGACATGTCCAGGACACCGCCACTCTGGGCTGACGTGCCTACACCGAAAGGCGACTCCGAGGCACCGCCACTGACGGCTGACGTGCCGGAGCCGTCAAGCGTGACACCGCCACTAAGGGCTAACATGTCGGGGGCTGCACCTTCACCACCTGCATCGGGAAAGGACCCGTCGCCGATGTAGAAGGTCTTCACCTCCGAGGTGGCGTCCGTGGCATCCTCGTTCCTGCTGGCGGAGTCGGAGGTGACGGCGGCGTGACCGGAGCAGGCAAGAGGCAGGAGGGAGGGAGGGAGGGAGGGAGGAGGGAGGAGAGAGGAGGCAGACGGGAGGAGGGAGGAGGAGGCAGGAGAAGGCAGGAGGAGGCAGGAGAGAGGGAGGGAGGGAGGGAAGGAGGGAGGCAGGGAAGAGGAGGAGAAGGAGGAGGAGCGAGGGAAGGAGGGAGACAGGGAGGATGAGGAGGAGGAAAACCAATATAAACCCCAGACGCATTAACGATGTTGAAATACACACTCCCTCCAAGATCCCTCTTCATAGGCCCATACAAGAGACCATTTCCACTGAAGAAACTGCCCACTTGGGGGACAGCCGTGTGAATATGTTGCAAAACGCCAGTCTCAGGACGTCAACGCCACGAGTGAACCTGTCTCGTGCGTCTTGGCGATCCTGTATCGCGCCAGGATACCATTCCTGAGATTTGAGCAACACGAATCAACGTAACTGTTGGGCCCTGACAATCCTGAATCGCTCCCAAACACGATTTCTGATACGCTAAACACGAGAACAATTGGAAACTCCTGCACATGCTCGAAACGAATGTGCGCGGCGTTAAAGCGAGAGCCACATTTTGAAAAGGAACCGCCATCAATCCGTTAAACTCATGTATATGCTACAAACGCATGTGCGCGGCGCTAAGGCGAGACCCACACTGTGAAAACCACCCACCCTCATTCCGTGAAACTCTTGCAAATGTTTAAGACGAGTGAGCGCGGCGCTAAGGCGAGAGCCACATGTTGAGAACCACCCGCCCTCCATCTGCGAAACTGGATGAAACTCAAGGAAAAACGCCCGGCCCGCCCTTTCGACCAGAGTTATCTATAAGGAAAAGGAATGGAGGAGAAGGAGGAGGAGGAGGAGAGAGAGGAGAGGGAGGAGGAGGAGGAGGAGGAGGAGGAGGAGGAGGAAGAGGAAGAGGAAGAGAAAGAGGAGGAGGAGGAGGAGGAGGAAGAGCAGGGAAGAGGAGAGCAAGGAAGAGGAGAGCAGGGAAGAGGCAGGAACAGGAGGCAGGAGGCAGGAGGGAGGCAAGGGGGCAAGTGGAGGGAGGATGGAGGAGGAAGAGGAGGGAAGGAGGGAGGGAGGCAGGGAAGGAGGGAGGCAGAGAAGAGGCGGAGGAGGAGGAGGAGGAGGGAGGGAAGGAGGGAGACAGGGAGGAGGAGGAGGAGGAGGAGGAGGAGCAGGAGAAAGAGGAGGAGGAGGAGGAGTAGCAGGAGAAAGAGGAGGAGGAGCAGGAGGAGGAAGAAGACTCCCCCCCTTCCTCTTCGGCGGAGAGGCAAGGCTCCTGCAGCGGCCGAGCGTCGGCGCTGCCCGCCATGCGCGGCCCCCGGCCCGTCGGGCACCCCTCTCGAGGGCCGCTGGGAGCCCCCCTCGGAAGGGCCGCCGCGCGCGGACGCGACCTGGCGGCGCCGCCAGCGGGCCCCCCCAGGAAGGCGAAGCGAAGCGAAGCGCCGGAGTCGCGCGCGCTCCGCTACGGAGCCCGCCCGCGCCCGTCGGGGCACGGCGTGGCAGTCGTAGGCCACAGGAGGGGGGGAGGGAGGCGGAGGGGTGGTGCGAGGACAGCAGATAATCAAGTCTACAGTGAGGAAGACGGGGGAAGGGCAAGGCCGTGGACAGGTATGGGCGCAAAGTTGTCGGAGCCCGAGAGGGTTCCCGTTCTAGCCCGGACCCCACTGGACGCCTGGGTAGGTAGCACGGGCGGAATTCGGTCCCCGCGATTAGCCGATTGGTTTGGGCGGCGTACACGTTCGAGGTCCAGTTTCGCGTTTATGAGAGTAGCGGGTCGTGTCAGACGAAAGGGGGGATAGTAGAGGGGGGTAGCGAATCAGCTCACGTGGATGGCTGTCCCTTCCCCTGAGCATGGCATTGCTAGGGCTCCCTCATCCCTCCCCCGTCGACTGGGCTGCCAGACAGGGACAGGCCCTCGCACAGCGCCCCCTCGGAGGGGGGCCGGGCTGCTGGCGCGCTCCGCGGGGAGCGAAGCCCGGGCCACGGCTGCGGGGGAGGAGGGTGGGGCGGAGAAGGGGGGAAGGAGGGGGGGGGGAAGGAGAGGGGGCAGGGCAAGCTAGGTGCGCTCGCGCCACATCTCGCATCCCTTCCCATTGCGCTGACTCTCCCCACCTAGCCTATGGGACCAGGTTCTCATTTGTTTTGAACAACCGATGGGTGCGAGGCGCGGTCGTAACCAGGGTCCCCAGGATTCCTTCCTTGGCCTTGCTTCCTGACAAAGGGTCTCTCCAGGGTTCCGCAGTCCTGTTTCCTTACAAGACCTTGCCTGAGTTACTTGGTCTTCGTTCCTTGGTTTCTTGATCTTGGTTCCTTGGTTCCCTGGTCTCGTTTCCTTGCTTTGGAGTCCTTGATTCCATATGGACATGGTTTCTCGGTTCAGTGGTCCTGGTTCCTGAGTTCCTTGGTCTTGGATCATTGATTTGAATTCCCTGATGATTTGGGCATCGCGTAGTCTTCTCTTCGGGCATCGCGTGATCTTCCTTTGTCTTGGTCGACTCACTCATGCTTACTTTAGCACCTGTTCTCAGGACTGTGGTCGCGCCAGGTCAATTTGTGTATCCGCCGGCGATTGTCATTGTGGGCCTAAAAATCCAAAACAATCCCATCGTTGTATACGCAATCGGGCAAATTGGGCTGCGAGAATTGGAGGAGGTGGCAAATGAACAAAGGATGAGCACGAGGAACAGGAGCAGGCTGAGGAAGGAGGAAGACGAGGACGAACAACAGCAGCAGCAGGAGCTGGAGCAGAAGGAGTGGGAGGAACGGGAGGACCAGCAAAGGCGGGAGAGAGGAAAAGCAACGACGGGAAATGAGTCGGACGCAGAGATCTGGCCCGGGCTGGGGCGAGAACGCGATTCTGAACGACGGGAGCGAAGCACCGATCCTGGAAAGAGGCCCACGCTGCCGCGGCAGTACCATTTTGAAGCACCGAGAACGCCCAAATTGGAAACAAACATCGGGAAAACCAAAATAAAAAAAGCGATACGCGAAGAGGGCGGAACGTCTTCCGGACAGAGTCAGGGGAGAAGGGAGAGTAGTAGTCATATCAGTCTAGCTGCGCTCGCGCTATATCTGACATCCTACCCCTTCCACCCATCCCTTCCCGCTGCGCTGACTTTGTTCCCTATCCGCAGACGCATGTCATAGGGAGCCTGGGCTTCAAAATAAAAATGCATCGTGTCATGCGCAATCGGAAAAATAGAGCTGCGTACATAATGCAGGAGCAGGAGGCGGATGAGCAAAAGGAAAAGAAGGATAATAAGGAAAGAAGACGAGGACGAAGTGCAGCAGTAGGAACTGAGAGGGAAAGAGCTGGGGGAGCAGGAGGACCAGCGAAGGCGGAGGACGGGAAAGGAGGGAGGCGACGACGATAAGAACGAACTCGGATCCAGGAAAGTGGCCCACGCTGGGGCGAGAGCACGATTCTCAACGACGGGAGCAAAGCGCCGATCCTGAAATGAGGCCCACGCTGCAGCGGGAGCACCACATTTTGAAAGGACAGAAATAGTTCGGACAGCAAAGCCAGCTCGGACCTATCCTGCGTGCAAAAAGTGATACGCGGAGTGGGGCGCGCGGCTCTCAGACCGTCTGCGGAGGAGATGGGAGGATAGTATTCAGATTGCTCACTTGTTGAAAAATGATCAAACAGGAAGAAACGGATGGGAACAAGGGGGAAGGGGGGAGAAGGGAAAAATTGGCTAGGGAGCAGGGGAGGGCCCAAATGAAAATATACGCAGGAGGGCGGAGAGCAGGAGGGAGGAAAAGAGAGGAAACAAAAAAAACATGGAGGACATGAGAGCAAAATGACGCTTAAAAACGGGTCTGTAGGGAGGAGCACGAGGAGGTAGAGAAGTGAGGAAAGAGGAGGTGGAGGTGTAGGAGGAAGAGGACGCGGAAGGAGGGGGAGGAAGGGGAGGCAAGAAGGGATGGCAGGAGGGGACGAGGACGGAAAGGGAAGAGGGAGTATGGGGAGCGGAGCAGGAAGGGGAGAAAGAGGAACGGGAGGAGGGGGTGTTGGGAAACCGCCAGTAGTTCTGAGAGACCCGTTGTCCAGTCGATGGCACAAGGTAAAATAGATACCGACCGAAGGATAGATACCTTTCGTGCCGCATGAGCCTTCCAGGCGAATAGACAGAGCTGCAGCACTGGTCACGTGGGGCGAGCGTGCCTGCAGCCGTCGTCGTCGAACCGTCCTCGTCACCACCCTCGCCGCCCTCGCCGTCCTGGCCGTCCCCCCAGAGAGCTCTCCCCCCCGCGGGACGCGGACAGAAGGACCCCCCCCCCCCCGCGCCCCCTGTGTCCGAGCCGGCGCGCGGAGCTCGGGCGGCGCCGCGCGCTCTCCGGGGCACGGGCACGCCTTGCCATGTCGTCGGCCACCGACACTGCGCCGAGTGGTTCTTCGAGGCGGCTGGCGCTGGAGTCCGGCCGAGGGTCCTCCACGGGCAAGAGTGAGGGGGGAAACGTTGGGGGGACGGGGGGCGCCTGGTTCCTCCTGCCTGTATCCTCCTTTTCCTCCTCCTCCTCCTCCTACTCATCCTCCTCCTTCTCTTCCTCCTGCTTTTCCTCCTCCTCTTTCTCCTCCTCCTCCTCGTCCTCCTCCTCTTGTGATGAGCATCCTTCACATTATTATGATTATTAGAATGATTAGTATTAGTAGTACTCGTAGCATCATGATTATTAATCACATTAGCCGTATAATCTTGTAAGGTTATACAGTTTCTTATTAATGCCATTAGTTGTGTTATTCGTATCTCATCCTTATGATTGGTATTATCAATTATGGTATGATCATTACTGTTCTTATTAATCGTGGTATTATTAATATTCGTGCTCTTTTCAATACTAGTAGTATCATTCCCCTTATGATTATTATTGTTACTCTTCTTAATACAATCAATATCATTATCAGTATGGTTCGTCATCATCCTCCTCATTATCCTCCTCCTCATTATCCACCTCCTCATCATCATCATCATTATCCTTCTCGTCCTCGTCCTCGTCCTCGTCCTCCTCCTCCACCTCCTCCTCCTCCTCCTCCTCCTCCTACTCCTCATCCTCCTCCTCCTCCCCCTCCCTCCTCCCTCCTCCCTCCTCCCTCCTCCCTCCTCCCTCCTCCCTCCTCCTCCTCCCCCTCCTCCTCCCCCTCCTCCTCCTTGTCCTCATCTTCTCTTTCGTCCTCTTTATCATGTGTTCGCGTTTGTTTTATGTGTGTCTCTCGCAGCGGCGCGGCCACACGCGCCCCGGTGGCAGGCGCAAAGGACTCGCCCACTGCCCTGAGGAATCCTCCATAAGCGCCCACCAGTCTTAAGACGGGGGCCATCCTCCTCTCCTTCCTCCCCCTTCTTTTTGTTATTCGTGTTACTCGTATGATCAGTCTTGCCCGTATCATAAAAACCAGCATTACCAGTATTGTTAGCATTGCTCCTCTTACTACTAATAAAACATTTGTCCTGTTCTTGTCAGTAGTACTAAGATTCGCATTATTCTTCATGTTGCCATGAATCAGATTGTAATGATTCCTCCGCCTCCGCCTCCTCCTCCTCGTGGGCGATCTGCACGATGCATGAAAGCCTGTAGTCCCACTGTGCACGACCACAGACAAGGAGAAGGATCAAACAGACACACCCTCCCTCCCTGCCTCGCATCCTGGGCCTGCGCTGCCGCCTGGCGCTAGAGCGACTGCGCCAAGTCCCCCAGCGGTGACCTGGCATTCGGCGCAGCTGAGCCAAGTGCGCACGCGGCGCTCGGCAACCTGCCCGCGAGGAGGGCCCTGAGGCTCTTTTGACTTGGGATTGGGGGGCGCATTTCTCACGCGAAGCCAGGGCCTTCGCGGTCGAGAAGGCCCCGCAAGACGCGCAGAAAAGCACGGGACCCCATGAGGGACCGCCTAGGCAGCATGCAGAGAATGCTGGTTACACCCAGGGTTGCTGGGCAATCTGAGAAGAGACGGATTCAACCTGCCGTTGCAAACAAACCGCGTCTTGGGACTGACGCGCCTCGCAGAACTCGCATCTCCAACGGTCGCAATTCCAGTTGGGTGCGCGGAGGTCTTTCGGGCAACGCGAGCCGCTGGGCCCCCCCTGTTGAGCTCCCCGAAGATCTCTCCAGGGGCGGGCCACTCGGAGGGAGTCAATCAAACCCATAGCCTCGCAGCACGATGCATCGCAGCGCTTGACCGGGCGGTCAATTCCAGCAGCCTGCATCGGAGAGAAGTCACGTAGCCGTGCGCCCTGGGCCGCCAGCCAGTCGGCGCACGCATTGCCTCTGATCGCTGCCAGGCCCCCGTCTCAGCTCGCCCGATCGGCCCGCTGGGCCTTACTCTTGGAATCGAGCCAACCGATTGGGATATCTGCCGCAATGTCTCGACCAAGTGGGCACCGATCGAATTGCGCGACCTATCTGAATGGTGGTTTAAGCCTGCTCTGAGCAACGCTTTGTCGTCAACGGTGAAGCCAGCTGGCAAGCCCCCTTCAGCATGGATAGCGCCCGCCATGAGCGCGGCCCGTTCTCCGGCCCCAGACCTTTGGCCAGAAAGCTTTGGCACGGGCCAAACAATTCCACGGCGCGCATCTCCTTGGCCCCCCAACTCGCAGACACCAAATCCAGCGCGCGCTTGCTCACCAAGCGCGCGCCTTATGCAGCTGCCGTCGGGTTAGAGCTTAGCACGGCGGGTGAACTCAAATCTAGCACGCGGCCCTGAGGCAGCCCTACAGTGGAGCCCCCAGTCATCCGCAGGCTCTGGGACATCAAACTTAGGCAGCCAAGCTCGCGCGCACGGGGTGTTCCGCTGTCCCGCGGAAGAGGCGTCCTTGCGCAGGTCAACGCAAGTTGAGGATTGTGCGTGGCCCTGTGGGAGCTACGATTGCTACACTCATGGGGTTCAAGTCTGAACCTGTGGCTGCTGCCCAATGGGATACGTAGGCTGGCGAGAGGGCGCGTCCCTTCTTGTTCCGAGGAGAATTTCAGCGAGCTGTCGTTAGATGATTATGTTCACTTCCAACATCTGAACGACTCCATGGATCGAATCCTATGGGCGCGGGCGCCCACGCACACACAAGAATGGCGATGACTTGCACAGGAGCTGACGTGAGCATGATACGACAAGAAATGAATCGATTTGCCAAGAAAGGGGGTCACGATCTGACTGGCTTAAAAACGGTGGCGACTACTGGCGGACAATGGACAGGTGCAAGAATGCTGGCCGCTGGGCACAGCATCCCGGCATCGTGCCCGCGATGCGGGCAGGAGGAGGAGACGTTGTTTCACAGAATTTGGAAATGTAGTGCGGACTATGGGCACTACGAGTTCACATGTTCAGGTCGCCCAACGTCTGGCTCCACGGGGCCACCACCAAGAGCGAGACGATCCCTGAGTTTGGCTAAGAAAAGCCGCCATCGATCGCTACCTGGACTGACATCCCTCGTAATCCCCTCGTGTTTGCCGAGTAAAATGGAGACAGCTCGGGAGGTGAGCACAGTCATGATGCCCGCCGTCGTAGAGTTGGCGTCGTTTCCCTGGCACTCGGATCGGGTCCGAGAGCTCTTGGCCCCATCGCTGGTTTCGCCGCGGCGCTCTCGGGTAGCACGCAGACGGCCCCCAAGGCCGAGATCTCGGCCTCCGCGGAGGCCATCGAACGAGTGTCGGAAACAGGCACGGTTTCACTGGTCGTGTTTCCCTGGCCCAGGTCTGGTCCCAAGGAGTTGCGTCTCACCTGGCCTCGCCCCCTGCCCCTCGTGCCAGGACCAGGATTCTGGGTGGAGGCTTCGATGGGGGCGGGATATCGTAGTTTCCTGGGCCCCCTCGCACGTCAGCGAATCCAATATCGCGACCGAGGACGACCTTCGTAGAACCATAGGAAGCGAACGTGCTGACGCCTTCGCGGGGCAAGCGGCCCGCGTTGGCTTTTCCGAATTCATCCTGGGCCCTCCCCCCGACGAGACGCGGAGGCGGCCCTGGTCTTACGTCGGGCAAGGAGAGCCCTGGCCGCTTCCGTTGCCGCGGATCCCTGGACTGCCAGTCGTCCTGGGGCCCCTGCGGGCCTTCGTGTCCCCGCCCTGGCCAGATCCCTCCGTGACAGCGCCCACCAGTGGCTCAGGATTGGAGCCCAGTATTCCTGCAGGAGTTGATCCCAATTCGAGGGTCGTGAGTCCATTCGCTCTGGGGTTCTTACCCGTTGTGTCCCGTCGCCGCAGGGTGTCGGCATCGTTCCCCTGCGTGGCCCACAGATGGTCGCTGGCAAACTCTTGAATGCTTCTCACCGTCTGCAATTTAGGGGCCGAGACTGGTTGGCTGTGCGCATGCTTTGTGGCAAACCGGCCAGTTCGGATCCCCGTTGGCTCGTCGGGCGGTGTCTGCCCTCCCCGAAAGGAGCCTAAGACCTGGCCCGTAATTCCAGAGCCTGTATCCGCATTTAGGCGACCCTCCCAATAGCTGGTTGACGGTCTGGCCCCATCTATACTTGACTACCGTTGCCATTCATATCCGCAGCATCCGCATGATCCTCCTCCTCCTCCTCCTCCTCCTCCTCCTCCTCCTCCTCCTCCTCCTCCCGTCCCCCCTCCACCCCTCCACCCCTCCACTCCACCACTTCCCTCCGTGAACACACGCTGGTTCTGCGAACAAAAAAACTCTGCCGCCTCGCCGCCGCTAGACGAGGGGGGGACGCCCCAGGCGCAGTCCTCGGGGCCAGAGGGCCGCGCCCCCGCCACCAGGCTGCTGCCTCGTTGTGGCGGCGCCGCCGCGGCGCGCTCTGCGGGATCTGAAGGCACGGGGGGGTCCTCCTCCTCCTCCTCCTCCTCCTCCTCCTCCTCCTCGTCTATGGCAGTGCCCTTGCAACTCTCACAGTGTTCACGTCCGCGTCCAGCTGAGTGAGCACCTCAGGCACGAGGCAGTCTCTGAATTTGACACCTGTCCTGTTTTCTGGGGGAGAGGGCTCATTCCCTTGGATTGGTTTGCGCTTCCACCTGCGCCTGAGGAGCGCCACCTGGAGTTTCAGGAGTGCGAGCCCTCTGTCCGCTTCCCAGGGGGCATTTACGGGACTGCCGGCACCGGGGGGGGCCTGGTCCAAGCATCCCGTGCTGCGCCGAGTGGCCTTCGCCTTTGCCCGCCTTGAGACTGCTGGGAACCAGTTTTCTGGAGCCACGGAGTTTCTGGCTGAGTTGAAGGTAAACGTCCAACGGTTCCCAGGGCCGAGCTGACCGCCCTTATTGAAGTTCTTAGGCATGTTAGGGTTGATGAAGCTCTCACGCTTGTCTGTGATCACATTAACCATGTGAACGCCTACGGCAAGGGGCGGCATCACACTTATCGTCTTGCCAATGCTGACCTTTGGTGGGAGTTCTGGCACTTGTACTCGCCCCGTACGGCTGACACGACCCTTGTGAATTGCCGCTCTCATCTTGATGACCCCGCCAAGTTTGAGCGTTATTGGAGGACCGCGGTCGCGGAGCATGCTTTCATCAATCGCGTGGCCGACTCTCTAACAGACCAGCGGGCAGAACAGGCACAACTCCCAGCACACCTGTGTAGGGACGTGCTGGAGCTGGAAGCCAAAGCCAAGTCTGTTCTGCTCCGCGCGGCTTCGATCACGATTGAAATAGCGTCCCGGCCGAAAGATAGCTCGCGTGTTGTTGCTGAGAGCCCAATCGATCGCACGGAGAGAGCCAAGCAGCGCAGGACAGCGCTCGTCCGCTCCTCGCTGCACCAGTTTTTTCTTGCAGCACCCAAATCTTGGCGGTGCTCGAAGTGTGGCCTCCATGCTCGTGAAAGATCAAGGGACTTTCGGATCGGGTCTTGTCTGCCTGTCCGGCCCTTGCCCCCAGGCCTCCCGTCTCGCTCCCTAGGGTTGTCCCGTCCCTGGAGCCTCTGGCCCCCGTGGATGAGTGGCTTTGGCGTCGTTTGGACATGGAGGACCCCCCACAGCGTGTTGCTCACCCTGCCTATGTTAATGGGCAGCAGTTGCATTCCAGCCATGAGCTGTGGTTTAAAGGTCGGTTTACTTTTTGTGGGTTGTGTGGAGCCTGGGCCAATCAGAGACCAGTCAATCTTCTGGTTGGTTGCACTGTGGCCCTTGAAGGCCCCCACAAGATCACCCCCAGGCAGCTGCAGGCTCTCCAGCGTGTTCGCAAAGGGAAGCCTCCTCAGCAGTCTGCGTCCGAATGGGGCACTGCGGAGGGATTTGACCTCTAGATTTTTCTGCCACCAAGTCTTAACCTGTCTGTCAGAGTTTGGCTTGGTGTAGCACACAATGAAAAAAACTCCTCCTCCTCCTCCTCCTCATCCTTCTCCCCCCCTCCTCCTCCTCCTCCTCCTCCTCCTCCTCCTCTTCCTCCTCCTCCTCCTCCTTCTCCTCCTCCTCCTCCTCATCATCATCATCATCATCATCAGCAGCAGCATCATCATCATCACATTCCCCTGCTTAACAATAGTATTGCTGTTATTCCGAAATGTGCGTCTTATATATATATAAAATAAAACAGTCGCATCATTATTAAAGTTGATAGCGATATTGCTATTACAATCTATTAGTCTTAGCAGTAGCATCATCAGTATCCGTCATATTGTGTAATAACAGTGTTAGTCTTAGTTCTGTTATTCGTAATATCTATCTATATATATGTTTATAAACATATATGTATATATATGGTTCGAAATGTTAGTAGTATTCACGTTAGTACTCGTTTTATTCGGAACACTACTATTCGCATTATCCTGACTGTTTGTATTGTTAGTATCCGTACTACTAGAAACTATCCGTAGTATTATCATTCGCAACCGTATTGCTATTACAATACATGAACTTATGTTTATGATTGAGCAGTGTGACTACTACTAGTATGTCATTTTTTCTTGTTCTTGCTCATCCACCTCCGTCTCCTCCTGCTCCTCCTCCTCCTCCTTCGCCTCCTCCTCCAACTTTGCCTCCTTTTCCTCCTCCTCCTCCTCTTCCTCCTCCTGCTCCTCTTCCTCCTCCTCTCTCTCCCCTCCCCCCTCCACAATTACATAATATGAATACTACTCTCTTCTCTCCCCTGATGATGTCCGGAAAAAAGTTCGGCCCCTCTCCGCGCACTGTTTCTTACACACAAGATTTCCAAGAACTGCTTGTTTTCGAGAAGGCCGTTCCCGCTGGAGCGGTGGCCTCATTTTCGGCCTTCCGCTCGTTCCGAATCGTGTTCCCGCTGCAGCGCCGGCCTCATTTCCGCGCTTCCGTTCGTTCCGAATCGCGCTCCCGCCGCAGCGCTGGCCTCATATCCTGGTTTGCATATGTGTGTTTGGCAGTCCGATTTTTGTTCGGTCCTTCAACATGTTGTTCCCGCTGCAGCGCTGGCCCGTTTTCTGCGCCCTTGGTTATTCCGAAACGTACTCCCGCTGCAGCGCGGGCGTTTTCGGTCATTCCAAATTGGCCCCAAATCTAAACAGCTACCACTCGGAAGAAACATCGCAAGTGATTCTGCGTCTGGTGTCGATTCGTTGAGTTCTCGGGCCGCAGAAGGCGGGAGCCCCCGTTCCTGCTTTCAGAAGGCGATGTTGCCAGCAGGGCCAGCGGGTGCTCTCCGTCAGCCCCGCCTTGTGGGCAGGCTCTCGGGGAGCCCAGGGAGCGAAATATGTAACCGCGACTCCAGACTGACCCAAACCCTTCGAAGACGATCCACTTACCCTCCAAGGAACCGGGTGCCCTTCCATGACATGCTGTGCGGTGTTCTGTCCTGCGCCGCCGTGCGACGGAATGCTCTGCGTTGAAATGCTTTATGATGGATGCAATGCTTCACTACGCAATGCCACGCCATGCTATGACATTATACGCTCTGCCGTGCTCTTTTACGCCATGCCATGCCGTGCTCTACGATGCATCGCGCACCTCTCGCGATCATTGCCCTGCTCGACATCCGACTGCGTGAATATAGAGGAGAGCTACGCCATGTGAAAGGATGGGACGGAGGAGTGGGACGCCAGATGTTACGCGAGCGCACCTAGCTTACCCCTCCCCCCTCCCCCCTCCCCTCCCCCCTCCTCCCTTCTCACTCCCCTCTCTCCGCTCCTCCCTCCTCCCTCTTTCCGTAGCCATTTTGGCTCAAGCCATTTCGCGCTCAGGGAGCGCTGCTGGTGCTTACTTCGAAGCGGCGTCAGTGCCAGCGAGCCTTTCACACCATCACGAGCCGCTCAGTGGGGCCGCGCCCGCCATGGGCGGCCCGCAAGGCGGAGGAGGAGGAAACGTGCTGCCAGGACCCAAGTACCCGTGTTGGAGTTGTGGGCGGTGCGGAGAGACCGGCAACTGGGCCAGCAGGCTCAAGCGCAGCGGCTGCGGCGACGGTGCCACTGTCAAGATCGCCCAAGCCGCACGAGCTGCAGGGACGGCGGCGCGCGGCAAGCAGAGCCCAGGTGCAGGCCGTCCTTGCTGCGCCTGGGCCAAAGGACCTCCAGCGGGCGGCAGCCTTGCCAAGGAAGTCCAGGCGCTCAAGTCGCAGCTGGCGGCCCCGCAGCAAGGAGGGGGGCGCGGCGGAGCCAGCAAGTCCAAGGCCCCCTCCCAGTCAGGCGGGCCAGACGTGTCGGACCTGTCCTTCGCGCAGGCGCTCGCCTGCCTCAACGGTCAAGGGGTCGACGCGCCGGCGATCTCCACCGTCGAGTAGGCCAAGTTCAAGGCCTGCGAGTCGCGTCCGCCGGCCCGCGGCCACCGCCGCACGCCACAGAGTGGAGAAGGACCCGATCGCAGTGGGGCTGGCTGGCCTCGACGAGGCAGTCACCAGTTCTGACGAGGCCCAGGCGGCGCTCGAGACGCCCCAGCGCCTGCGGCGCGAGGCCCGTGCAGCGGCCCACGCGCCACAAGGCGCCCAAGGAGGCGTTGCTGGCGATCCTGGTTCTGGTCCAGCTGAACAGCCTGCTGATGCCCCCACGGGCAGGCCTGCCCAAGCCAAGGACTATGACAGCGACTTCCAGCAGGGGCTCAAGCGGGCGATGGCAGCTGAGAACGCAGAGCAGGAAGAGGCCAAGGATCAGCTGCGCGGCCTCGTCCGGGCAGCAGCCAGGCCGCGGGGCGGCCAGCCCCCAAGCACTCGAAATCGGCGAGAGCAAAGGGGCCCACAGGGGGCCCCTGAGGCCCCCTCGGGGCCCCAGGGCCCTCGGAGAACCCAGGGCCCCGCGCCAGGGAGCCCAGAGTGCTCTGACAATATATGCAAACGTCAGGCGGGGGAAGGCCTACCCGCGTGAGCATATATACAGCATAGTTTCCCCCTGTCCTCACTGGTCTGCTGCGGGGCTGCGCCCGGAGGCGCGGCCCCATGGGCAGCCGCGATCATCTGCCCACAGCGGCCCCGGAAACAGTAGACCCCCCCCCCGCCCTGGCAAGCTCGTCGAGGCCCACGAACTTGGGTGACCCATCCAGGACAAGCAGCCCTGAAAAGAACACCCGACGGAAGCAAGTCTACCCAAAGCACCGACTGAACTGGCTGCTGGAAAGCGAAGAGGCCCAAGGAATGCGGGGAGATGCACCTGGCGAACCGCTCGACGGCCACGGGGCCGCCCTCCTTGACTCTCCTGGTACGCGCACACATCTGAGGAATGACACAATCTCGCCGAAGGGCGCGCTGGGCAGTCGCACGGCCTGTGAAAGAACGTGCCTGGCGCGCCTCGGCAGAGCAGGCAGAGCTCGTCGTTATGTAGGCTGTGCCTGAACAGCCGCTCGCGGGGCCAGTGAACACCCGAAACCAGACCTCGAAGGCAGCGCTGGTGACGCGTGCTCCAGGCACCCGACTTCTCACG